GAAATGACGCAAAGTCTCACGACCGACGGAGGTAATTTGTCGTGAACACGAAACACAGCTTTCCGTCAATCAAGTTGATACAATGACAGCATCAGGAGATAAACTTGTTTCAGTCAGAACTTAGTGGTTGCTCTCATGTGGTAGTAAATATCTCAAGGAAGAAATGGATCATCAGACGAATGACAGATACAGAAAGAAGAAATTTCGATGTAAGTGATCGTGACTGTAAAGGCAAAAGTGCTGTATTCACTAGAATCTAAACAGCACGAGAATTATCTCTCTACCAATAGGGTTTTGCATTGATGTTGTCCATTTTAGCCACGAGCTCATGAATATTGCATTTAACATACACTTTGAATATGCTGCAATGACCTACGTGGTGGGTGGCTCATTGTAAAATGCACTATTGGGTATGGTCTTGATACCCGATTTTATGCAAATTCAATCGTGACCTAATTGGATCACTACAGATTGAAAGTGACCACGTAAACGTAAACCAATCGGGTGAACTTTGCAAATGTTTACAACTTACCCATTCAAATTCGTGGTCTTGTGAGATATCAAAGTGTATTTTTTCTACCCGGTTTTTTTCTGGTAGTTCAGTAATATTAGTGAAATTCCTCGAATCTAAGGCTACAATTATGGCATGCTTTTTTCTTGTCGCTCGTATGACTAGCTGATATGTATCCTCATTATTTTCTGCAATTGGGTATTCAATACATTGAACAAGCTGATACATCTGCATCGACCCAACTTCAATAATTCCTGCTATAATTTTGCCCAAACATCAACCATTCTTAATTTTAGTAGTCATGATAACGAAGTCTTGAGAATGTGTTTAATATCATCTTATAATCATTATCAAACACCAGGAGATATTCATCAGAAATATACAATCAGAGTACTTGCTAAAGAATATTTCTGTAAGTACAGGGTCAAGTATGCTGCTACTTCAGCGAAAAAGGACCACAGTGGTAAATTTGTTAGAAGTTTATTGGAAACAGCACATTATTTAGCAAATTAGATAGGACTTTTAAATGACCACCCATTACCACCGTTAGAATATATGTGCGGGTCTCGCAAAATACAATCGGCTTAAAATAAGCAGAAAACGATTATTTATCAAATGATGAATCCATTATAACATACTTTAAAATCGTGTTCAGATTCAAGTAAATGGATACCGAAATAGCTCCGACTTATACCTGAGAGTTACAGAGGCCAATTCGCCTCATCTGACTTGCGCAGATGTCTGTGAAAATCTTGTCTAATCCTACAATAGTGTGCACGCACAAACATGCATATTATAGTCTTCTCTGTCATGCCTACATTTCCTTTTCATTGGTACTCTTCATGAGTTATGTACGCGCAGCACGTGCGTCAGTCCATTCCTTACTACTGCGTGGGTGCGTGTATTTACATAGTAAACTACGCCCGTTCATGCTTGTCTTTGACGTACTTCATGACTAGTCCTGTTTATTCCTTATAGCAAAAGGCTTTTTGAATGATTTAAAGGTGAGCAGCGGTAGAGGTTGCCTGAATCGGCCCTGCACTTTCAAAAGTCAAAGTAAATTCAAGTCACTACGTCTATATGTATAAAGGTGATTATTGAGCTACCGAACATTTGTCCTGCAATATTGAAACAGCAAATAAACATCCAATATCTACTACGGAAATCTTTTTATTCTTACTAGTAGGGTCAGCACCGCGATTCACGACTCACTGTTTTCGCAATCCCTCCTTCGAAGTGCGGGATGTCTATTCTAATATTTGCCTGCTTTCATCCAATCCAATTCACTAAAATGCCTCTTCTCTAAATGCACCTAATACAAACGTGATTAAATCGGGCTTAATCCACTGCAGTAAGGCTATCTTGAGGTGAATCAATGTGTGTGACATAACTTCTCGATGGCTGTTGCACCACGCATTGCACTGGCCAAAGCCGATGTCTGATGGTGATGGCCGTTACTCGTCCTATCTTGTGATGATTGATTTGCACCAGTTAAGGATTTGATTAATCTATCCATCCTGCTTCCAAAAAGGCTGATTTGTTTAGATAAAAATGGCTCGGTGAATGGCAGTTATAAGGGAATTTAATACCAAAACATGTTTTGCACAAATTGTTTGAAAAGAAACGAAAATGAGAGCCATGCTCTCTTAAGCAAACAATTTTTTCCCAAAAATACTTGTATCGGACCTATGACTGTATTCAAGTCTACGGCCTCATTAACCACTAGAAGGAATAATCAGGAGGGCAATATTTTTGTGCATTTGACTGCTTTATTCGTTTTCAAAAACGACAACCTTGGTCCTGTAGTATAAGAATGGTTTATTATCAATGAGTAAACTAGCGATAAACGTTCCATGCCTAGGACTTTATTCTAGAAATTATCTTTATTAAAACGTTTTTATGGTCAGCACGCAGTTTTGGGAAAGTGTGATGTGCAATGGTTTCTAAAAATTTCTAACCATTTTCATGTTTTTAGCAGTCTGCTACTTGCTTTCCATCACCTTAATCAACACGGCTTGGCAATTTCACATTCTTGTATACGTGGAACGAATTGACACTGCGTACCTTCTGGCTGTAATTCGAAAATGCCAAATGACTTTTTCCGATGACGAAGTATCGAGTTAGTGACAGCTTTCTTCTCTACCTTTCTTCTTAATATGAATATTAAATGCTATGCTACAAGCGGAGTGATTTATTTTTCTGCCTCTAGTGCGAATTCTGCAGTGTGAAATGGTTGTCACTGATGCTAAAAGAATATTTATACACTGTCCGTAAGGAGGTCGGTGAACTGATTATGGCAACCTCCTGTTTTAAAATGATTGTCTGTCCTGCCAGTACCTCATTTTATTTACAGCGGAAAATTGGATAAGTCAAGGATTCAATTCAAGAATAATTGCACCGAATGCAATTTCGAAACAAAAAAATTGATTGTGACTACCAATCAGAGGATCACTCTCCTACCAGTAGAGGTATCTCTTTTATAGTAAAGTAGGCCACTGTTGCAGACAGATATTGACATTCAAAGATGCAGAATCCATTAAAAGTTCCGGAAGTTAAAAATTCAGCTTTCTCTTTAGTTATGCTAAAGTCTTCTTACCACTGTAGCTATAAGATTTTGCATTTACACTACCAGTACTCCACGGTGATATTACTCTAAGACTGTTACAGCCGGCGTCCCGGTCAGAGAAACAATTTCCAATTTTCAATGTTTTGCGCAGCGCTTGGGGTGTGTAGTTAGCTATTTAAGACATATCTGTTGATATTTTTCGGATTTATTAGACACAAGAGGCCGTTGCACAGGCTGCATGCATTGAAAATAGGTTTATGAACAAAGGGCAAAGATCTACCCACCAGTCACATGGAATGCCGCTCAGCCTGTGGCTCATAGGAGAAACACATTTTTAGTTTGACAATGAGGCGAAAGGTGTTAGGTTTAGTCAGTGCTTTAATTGTTTGCGCCTCCTCTGAGTTTATAGTTCTGAGCAATACAATCTACAGTGCCCATGTACAGCTGCAAGTGCTTGCCCTGCCTCTGGCTTCATGCATAAAGATTTGTGAATTGTCAACGTGTATTGTTGCTGTTTTTGTTGGAAATGAGGCGAGTTAATGTAGTGGATGGTTTAAAATCTTGAATGATAATGTTTAACTTATTCGCCTAAACCCGATTTCGGAAAACGAAGGGGACGCTTTCTTTTAATAAAGCACAAGGGCAAATTTTGTGCTTTTCCTTTTTGAACTAGAAAGCATTTAATGCAGCAAGTACAAGAGTGAGTAAAAAATACGTTGTGACCCATTTGACTCGATTCAATTAAAGCTATCCTAAACAGGCTCAAATAGGTTTATGGATTTGCCGTAAATAAAGTGATTTTGAATGGATATATGCAGCTCAGACTACTAATTCTAGGTCCTTAAGCCTTCTAAATTAATACATTAGGAATTAGGCAGATGTCTAGTAAGTAAGGTGCAAATGTTTTTTTAACATTTCGGCTAATTATTTTATTCCCTTCTAAAATTAAGCTATTTGAAATTCTGTGAATTAAGCAGCTTCCATCCCTCGACAAATTAATTGACTGACTTCTATTACTTAAAAAATAAAATTAAAGAAAAAGGGTGAATAAATATGGTTAATCTCTAATCGAAAAACTCTCACGACTCGTTTTGTACATTTGCAAGGCTTAGATATCAGCTTCAGTACTACAATTGATATTCTGCTAGGCTGAAAATAATTTTAGGCATTTAAGTAAATGCCAGCTTTGTAGATAAAGATTTAGGTCAAAAGCAAAAGTGATGTTATTAGATCCACGATTTCTCATAACTCCCTAACATGTTTTTGAGCATCAATTTTTGCCCTTTTGGTACAATATTGTTCTTTTCTTTACTACTATTAAGAGCAAATGCAAATTGTATACCGGTATTTCGCTTGAGCCACATTTATTCAAGGAGGAGAATGGGAGCATAACTTTTGTCAAAAAGTGTAAGTTTAAAATATCCATTTGAGTATTTAAATAACGATGTAGCTAAACATAATTTTGTCACTACTACACCGACACGTTCTCTTCCTTGAACTTGTCACAGGACTCCTTATTTTGGATTTGTATTTCCTTTCCTTCGTCCTTATTGTATGCATTTATTATTCCGTTTTAGATTGTGCAATAAATTTTCTTACAAAAAAGGTGGAAAGCAGAGAAATGAATGTACTTTTGGAAACGCAGTCGTATGCACGATTGTGTGTAATTAGTGGGTTAATACAGTCATTCCAGGAGAGATAAATGAGACAAGGTAGACGTTAATTTTGGTTCACAAATTAAAACTTATGGTCATTGCCTAGAATTGGGATGAGACAGACTAAATGCTAATTTTTCTAGGTGATTTGCTTATAACTCTTATAAGCCATTCCACCAACATCCCCATTGGCAAAGAACGGTGCAGAGGACGAAAAATGACTCAAATAGAACATAACGAATAAACTAAACACTTAGATGAAAAGTGAGAAGTAGGTTTGAGGATTTATTCAAAACAAAATCTCAACTATATGAGCAACTGGGCCTAATTTTAATAATGGTCCTGTTGGAGTATAATAGGAGGGATTTGTACGCGTCAAAGCACAGGCAGCGGTCGGCAAACATATGACGGTTGGACAATTCGTGCTGGCTCTTTTGGCACTTGTCAGTCTACTTGATTCACCAATTAAAGGTCTTCTCCTAACAGTCATTTGTGGTGTCGACAAGCTTAACATTCGGCTTCTTTTTCCGAAAGGCAAATGTTAGCTTCTTTTATCAGTATGGTTGCGCCATACTTACAGTCGATAAGAGGTGATGAAATATTTATGTGGTCATTGCTCTCATAATTGAAGGTGATTGGTATTTCCCTTCTAGTTTAACCTTCATACGTATGTCTCCCTGGATGAGACACAAATCTGAGCAAACCGCGAGCTGGCCAGTGCTAATTCTTGAATGTTCCATCTGTTGCCCTTGACAGACACCATTGCTTTAGCTACCCTTTTTTCTAGGCGCAGATATAAACGAATTATGCAGAGTAACTAGATAGAATGCTATTTTTGGCTCAAAACCGGGGTTAAGCTAGAATTTCTGTTATTCTAGTGATGGTTCTTACCAACAGAACCTTTTAGTTTCCACTTTCCTCACTATTTGCTCTTCAACAAGATAATACTGTGAAACATACCAAAAATTGAGCTCTCCTTTTTTTAAGTGATGCAATGCATATTGTGGTATGGACAAAGAATGAATTGCAGTCTACTTGTCCATGCTCATTGGATGGGAATAAATAACTGAAGACTAGGCTGACTGTATAAAATTTACCATTCTATAAACTTGACCTAAAGTCCTCTGTCGTAAGCAAATTGGAAGAAGGCAGGAAAATTGGTGCTTATCGGTTTATCTACAGGTCATGGATACAAACTAGCAGGTTATTTTACGAGGTTTTGTTCACTACTGGCAGATGCTATAAGAAGTGTTCATGAAGGATGTTAATGTCAGCCTAATTGATACCCCTGTTAAAACCAAATGTCGACACATGCAAGAGCTGCTGATCATCTAGGAAAGATCCACAAACCTTAATTCTGAGGTACTCAAAAAGTGAGTAACTACAATGAACTGAGTAAACTGAGCCTCCTTCTCTGTTATGTGACCACTGATTAGCCAACAATTAGGAGGCCAAATTTACTCAAGACCTGGCAAATCTCTCATATAGCTGAGTCCTGCTAAAAATCACTTCATGTTAAGCTGATCGCAACCACAATTGAGTATGCTTTCCTCAAGTATAAATGTATATGAGTAGAGCAGGAACTATACAGATCTCAAATTTCCCTTTCTATGCCTGAGATGTTTAACCACTTTAATTATGAAACAAAAGAAGTATAAGGAACAAATTGCCTTTTGATGGGAACAGCGAGAGCTGCTCGTGTGGAGGAACTGAAACATAAGCCCATACATCCCCACACCTTCGACAGATCGTTCATGTTTTGCGCAGGCATAGAGCAGTCGGGTCAGCTCAGCAGGAATGTGTAAGGCGATGATGGCCAAGAGAGGAGAGTTATTCATTGCGATGGCATTCACTGACGAAATCCTAGATGCATTTGCGAATTTCTTTTA